AACCATCTCACTAACCTAACCCTTTGGTACCATCCAAGTAAAAAACCCTGACATAGAAATGTTTAAAGAAAAACCCTCTGGTCAACATGTTATTAATGGCTTCTGACTTGGTGATCTAATACAGAGAGAGCCTTCCCACCCTGGGAACATACTTCAGCGTAAAACTCAAATATGTCCAATCTTTTTTAAGCATTCTAGGAATGCATGTCAGAGGAAAATGGGGATTAAACTCTTTCACAATAACAAACACAATTTAATCAGTGCTTTAAACCAAACAGATCTTACCCAAATAATTACAGAATGAAGTCATTGTGCAGCTAAATTACACCAAGCAACTAGATGAACAAATTAGATTGGTTTTGTGGATCAAAGAATAAAGAATCTTAAGAAAAATCTCGCCCCAAATAAAAAAGGGAGAAGAAATACATCTGGGCCTTGTTGGGCTGGTGGTTGAAACGGTCTGAGTGGAGTTGTTGAGTGATGGGATGCATACAGTGAAAGTCACATTAATCCAGTCTGCAGAGGTTGGCACGTAACCCTCCAGAAACGAGCCAAAGAGCTGCAGGTTCAGATCAGTGATGCTGAGGTGCCGCGACCATTCATAACTGGTCCTTTGTGATCTTTTACTGTTAACCATCAAACCTGCACTGGTACTCTATAACTTTACCAAACCCTGAGCGAGTTTCACTGATTTATGTTCTCAATATCTCCGGGCAGATTTGGTCATTCCCAAATGAGACAAACAGGCTACCAGCTGTACTGAAGAAAACCTCACAGAACAGCCTTCGGTCTTTGGAGGCTATAAAAGAACAGAACAGCCTTTTTCTCTGTTTCATCTGAGCTCAGAACCAATTTGTGCCAGTAGAAATTATGCCATTAACGGTGTATGTGTTTTAAAGCAAACTAATGGCCAGTTTTAGCTCACCATTGATGTATGTATGCTGTAGAAGAAGAAGAAAATATAATTTCTATTGCGCCTCTCAAGATAAAAATCACGAGGCGCTTCACAAAAACAAAAAATGTGAAAATATGAAAAAGAATTTAGAAAATGGTTAAAATATATTTAAAATGAGCCAAAAAAATAGACAATTGTGATAAAAAAATGTTAAGAAAGAGAGAGTGTGAATAGGAAAGAGGGAAATCAGTGGATCCTGAGGAAGGTGGAATAGGTGGGGAGAGCACAATAAAGAGAGCGGGGTTGAAGAAGGTCATACAAAATCCAGCTTGAACAAGTGAGTCTTCAGCTGCTTTTTAAAGGAGACCACTGAGTCCACTGATCTCAGGCTCAGGGGGTGAGAGTTCCAGAGTCTGGGGGCCACAGCAGCAAATGATCTGTCACCTTTGGTCTTTAGCCTGGTGCTGCACAACCAGTAGGCTTTGATCACTGGACCTCAGGGACCTGCTGGGGGTGTAGGGACTAAGAAGATCTGTACAAAGCTGAAAATCTGATAAAGGTCTTGCTTACAAAATAAAAGAAAGTTTGGCTTGAATTAACCTTTTATGGAAGCCCTGAAAGGCAAGCATAAAGTGAATAAATAAATAAAAAAAGAATGCTGCCCCGCTTTCTTAGTTTGGCTAATGGTCTTTTTACTCTTGACTTTATAACTTCTAGAGAAATTTTTTGGGAAACAAAAACTTAAATTAACTTCTGAAAGAAACAAAAATACACAAATTTGATCACTTCTGTCTATCCAAAAATATTTTCTCTTTAACCATTACAATAAACAAATACATTTTACTGCATTTCATGGCTCAGAAAATCAATTTTAAAGACTCACTTTTAATCATGGAGGTATTGCCATGGCATGCACCCCTCACTTTTTCATAAGGCAATATGGATCCTTTCATGATTTGCACTTTAATTTACACAAATGAGGTAGATTGTTATGTTTATTTTCATGTAATCTCAGTGTTTCGTTTCCCCTAGACATTTTTCCAGCCATGGAGCACGGACCGTTTCGCTGCTGTGTGTTGTTGGGGTGGGGGGGTTGTGTTGCTTGCGGACCGTTTCGCTGCTGTGTGTTGTTGGGGTGGGGGGGGTGGGGGTGGGGGGGCTCGTAGCAGTGGCGCTGGAATTTCAGTCGTGGCGCAGCATCACTCCTGAGCCTATGGGGAAACACTGAATCTAGTGAACAGACATTGTAAAAATGCGTGTAACACTTAGATCCGCAATGATGCCTCCTCCCACCACCACCACCACTCCAAATGAGTCCCCCCTACATTTATAAATGAAAATTATTTTATTGCTTTTATTCAATTGCTTTTGATGCAGTGAATGTTTGGGTTTTGGATTGTTTCTATTTAATCCTCTTATGCATTTGACCTTATTGTTTCATATCTTTTAAGGTGTCTTTATTTTTACGATGTTTGTTTTTATGTACAGTATTTTGTGTGACTTTGATGTCGTAACTTTAAGGGGCTCCATAAATAAATATGGTATTTTATGTTATGGTATGGTATGGTATGGTATGGTATGGTATGGTATGGTATGGTATCGTATGGTATGGTAGGTGCAGCAGTAGCTCAGGAGGTTGACCAGGTTGCCTTATGATTGGAGGGTTGTGGGTGATCCAGCCCCCGCCAGGGGTATTCTGCTGTTGTGTCCTTGGGCATGACGCTTCACCCAACTTGCCTGCGTTGGTGGTCAGAGGGGATGAAAATGGCAGCCTCGTCTCCATCAGATTACCATTAATGCCACTGTGTAAGAGAGCATGAATAATGGAAGACGCTATGTGTGCCTTGAAAAGCGCTATATAAATCCAATTAATTATTATTTTCTATGGTATGTTGTGGTAAAATGTATTTATTTATTTTTAGATAAGAACATGAACTCCATTTTCAAATTATGAGCCATAAAATGAATGAAAGAACTAATTTGGTCAAAATTCTATCAGAAAAAGGGACTTCCTTTTACACATACACACACACACACACACACATAAATCTTTCAAGATGTCAATAGCTCAGTCATCTGCAATAAAAATGAAATTTTTGTTGTGGCACACAGATTTAAGCCGTTACAGTCATAATATGTGAGATAATATTAATAGTTTTTGATTGAACTTTAAATTGACCAATGTTACAATTATAAAACAGTTCATTATATGTTATTATATAATACTAATGATAAATATAAATGAAAATTGTCACTTTACTAGCAGCAGTACTTAGATATTCCAACATGAGGTGGAAACATGATTTGAAATATGATAATTTGGAGGAATGGACTTAACATATAGCTGCATACAGACACAGCCAAGCATGGGAGGAGGCGAATGTATTAACAAAGTACTCACCAGATGTTTCCTCTAAGAACATAAGTAATTTATACTCGTTGATGGAAAGCTTTTAGACAGCTCTGGCACTCCACCACCAGTCAAGGGGTAAGTTTCACAAGCACAGAGGCATTCTTTAAATGGGTGGATAGTGTTAATGAGGTTCATGTTACTAACAGATAATTTTTCTCCTGGACCATGCCCAGGTTTTATTATTTTTTTTTTAGGTTAAATGCACGCATGCACACACACACACACACACAGATGGATATAGTTTCAGTAACATTTGATATAGATGGGTTCAGCATGATACTTGAGATCAAAGTTGTGCTCCTAAGTCTATATTGATATTTTTTGGCTCCTTTAAATGCAATAAATTTTACCTGACAGAGCTTCAAATGCCAGCTGAAATATGGAATGCACCAGAAAAAAAGATAAATGCTGCATGAGACAGTGAGATAAAAGAAAGTTGACACAATCTTCAAATGGCCAATCAGATTCTGCAGACTTTGGCAACATCAGCTAGAACAAGTGAGCACTCACAGTGTGTACACAATTTTATTATTTATTTTAGTCATAGTGTGTGTGTGTGTGTGTGTGTGTGTGTGTGATGGATGCCGGGGCTCTGGAAGTTAAGGGGAATAAACAGCTGTAGCTTTGAGCAAATAAAAAAATAAAAACACGGAAGTCTTTTGAGCATTTCCAGCTCCAGATGATTAAAATGTTTTCCATTTGGGGGTTAAATAACTCAGTGACTCTCAGGCAAAGCACAGAGTGAGAACCAATCAAAGCAATGCAAATAGACAAGAGGAGCCAAACTCACTAAATGTATAATAGAGGGAGGAAAAGGCACGCTTACGACCGCTCTACTCCCTCTCTGTCTGCAGATAAGGCATACCTGCTCTCCCACATGTTGCTGCAGGAGAAGACCTGGTCACAGTTTTTCACCACGACTTTCAGATAGAGTCTAAACACTCAGAGGTTCATCAGGGCTGGAATTAAAATGTGTGGTTTTTCTGAGCAGACAGAAAGAGAGAGAGGCCAGCTGGAACGTTCTGCTTCTGACAATTTAGGATAAGATCTGCAGCCAAGTGAATACTCACATATACACGCTTAGGTGTGTGTGTGTGTGTGTGTGTGTGTGTGTGTGTGTGTGTGTGTGTGTGTGTGTGTGTGCGTGCGTGCGTGCGTGCATGCGTGTGTGCGTGTGTGTGTGTGTGTGTGTGTGTGTGTGTGTGTGTGTGTGGGATCAAACTCTACAACAAATTCCTCAAAGTACATTTTTTTGAGGAGGTTGGAGAATATGTTATGATTTTAAAATTAGATGTTACTCCATTGCAGCAGACAGTTTATATTGAGGGATTATCTGTAACTGGTAAATTCAATAAAAAATATAAAGTCAAGTTTTGTGCAGACGGCTACTGGACTTTTATTTTTGCAGCAAAACAAATGATGTAAATATGAATCAAAGAACAACTCTTGTTGCATTTATTGTTCTGATTTATTAATATACTTTTTTTTACCAATCCAATCAGCCATGCAAGCTTTGATTTCTTTCACCGAAACTGGTAGAAAGTTAAGCACTAGAGGGATAATACATGATAACTTACAACATCAACAAACAACTTTTCATCAAAAAAATAATTTTTTTCATACAAAATTAAAAAGGAGACCAAAGTGCACCTTTTCTAAGGTTATTGCCATGTTCACCTGCAGGACACTTACCTCCTTGAAGAGAGGGCTGAATCAGAGCCGAGAGGAAGAGTCCACAGAAGAGCAAGAGAAGAGTTCTGTTAGCCATCTCGCTCCAGAATGCACCACCCCTCTCCCGATCAGCTGGTTTTATTCTCTCTCCTAACTAATTACCGCGTCCCCAAGGTCTCAAAGAGTGGTGAAGTAAGTGAGGAAGTTAAAAGATACAGGACCGTGTGTAATTACAAGAGGGGAATGACTCTTGTACAATGGATCACTTTGCTTTTCCCCCCTCTGTGTGTCTGGTGTTGCTTTTTTTAAAATTCTGGTCACTGCTGCCAACACGCAGATGCTGCCAGCAGGGAAAGAGAGAGAGAAGAGGACAAACACACACACACACACACACACACACACACACACACACACACACACACACACACACACACACACACACACACACACACACACACACACACACACACACTCACAGATGGACCATCTCCCTCTCTCCCCCAATCCAGAAGGAATCGAACTGTCTGCCAAACATTTGCATACATGTGCACAAACCTATCTGTGAGTCAGGGAGGAGAGCGAAGAAGAGCCGATCACTTAGCAGAATAATTACATGTCCTTTATGCATCTAATCACTTTTGTTTTGTGGCTTTTAAAACAAGCAGTTACTAAACTTTTTTTTTTGGGGGGGGGGGGGGGGGGGGGGGCAAAAGGGCAAGTTCAAATAAAACTGAATTCATATTTATAATTTTTAATTTGAAATTTCCCCATTTCATTCACAACTCCAAAATAAACGAGTTCACATTCATTCACCATTTTCATCTAGAGTCGTCTAAAACCCTGTTGGTAGAAGGCATCGTGTGCTAATCAGCAGAACTTCATCACCATCAAGTTTAGCAAAAGGACAGTTATTAATATATGTTTCCATCTGTCCTGTTTCCTGTGCTCTCATATTGTTTGTTTTCCAAAACCCTATCAAAGCTGCACCCACTCACTGTTTTTCATTATTGTTGCCACCAAAAAACGTGGAATTGTGAATGAGAAACAGCCATTAAGCCTGTGTTTTACTCGCAGTCACATTGGAAGCAGAACTCTGCTTTAATGAAATCCTGTTCTCATTTGAGCAGTGTCATCAGACAAAACCCTGTTCTGATAAATTTAAGACATCTGTGATGATCAGAAGGAAAGTTAAAAATGGCACCATGTCTCTGAGATTTCCTCTAAGCGGCTGCAGTTCCTCTCCTCCTCCCTGTCGCCTGCAGAGATCTGGACCCACTCTGTGGCTGGAGCTCACTCCAGCACTAGGAACAAGGAACTGGGTACAAAGGCACAACAAGGTGTGGGCCAGTTAAAAAAATTTTAATTTTTTTTTTTTTTTTTTTTTAAAGTTTAGACCAGGTGTCCTGTGTATTTATAACAGATACCACAAAGGGCTGCATGCTGGTGCAGTCAGGTCACAGGTTCAAATCCAAGCTACAGCTTTTCTGTTTTAGCCTGTTCTCCTTATGCATTGCATGAATGTTCTCTGGTTTCCCTCTGACTGATATGTTAGGTTAATTGGCCGCCATAAAATGCCCCTAAGTGTGAATGAGTCAGTGAATGGGGGAATCTTCCCTGGGGCCAGTGGGGTGGCCAACAATTTTCCAAGGGTGGTCAGAGCTCCCCTGGCAACCCCTTTGGGGTGCCACTGGACAAACACCAGCTCCCCACGGCCCCACTGAAGAAACCTGGTTAAAAAAATAATAATAATTCTTGACGCAACATTGAATTTATATAAATATACTCATTTGAATATAGGCCTTTTAATGATATTTAGTTAGCAAACACCGGGCCTGCAAATAATGTTTTGCCTAACATGCTTGGCCATGAATCAGTCAGCAACTTGTCACTGACATGGCTGTCAGATTTCTGTGGAGTAGGCTGAAGAGAGGTCCGGTTTATTGGCAAGAGCTGCAGCCAGAATCATTACTCTCTCAAACTCAGGCCTGACAGACCAGACTGTTGCATGCACACTGATATGTTGTGCTTTTTATGACTCACAGTGGTGACATCCACCTCAGTGTTCTTATGACCTCATGTTTGTTTTCCTGAAGTCAGGTCAGGCATGTTAACAAACCCAGCTGTTAAAAGGTTGTTCAGAATGAATGTAAAGCATATTTTCATTTGACTGATGAAGCTGAATCACACAACTTTAGGGTAAAGCTACATTTTTCAGCCAAACAGAAATTATTTCCGTTTGTACTCCAGCATATTCTACTGAAACATGCATTTATCAAGCCTCTGATTTTCTTTGTTACAACCCTTAAAGAGGCTTTTGAACACCACACAACTCATTTTTATTTATTTATTTAATTGATTAAACCATAAAACACATACTTCTCATGAAAGCAGAGAATCATTTTTAATCTGCCTTTAATCAAAGCCTCTAATTAATTAGATTATTTTTTTATTGAGTCCCACTCCTAAAAAAACACACAAAAAATGAGTAAATAACAACAGGACAACACTGAAAATATTTGAACTTGTCTGAACTGTAAGATTAAAGTCAATTATTAATTACAATCCAAACATCGGGAGGAGACTGACCTAATGTTGTATTAAACACAGAACTAGTCTTTCCATGTTTGGTTTGAGACCAAAAATCCCAGCTGACCGTTCTGTTTGAAGAACTGAAGTATATTCTGGATGAGAACAGTGTTTTCCTCAATCTATTTGCAAGTCTTAATGTCTATTTTAGACCATGTCTGGTATTCTTCCTTGAGCTGAGTTGGCAAGCAGTTTTGCCAAAAACGCTAAGAAGAGCTCACACAGAACCTACTGTTTATAATAAACCCAAGAACCATTGGTTCCTTGTGCTGGTTTATTTACTTTCAAATTAAGATCAGACTGGTTTTGTGCATATGAAACATTTGAAGTGGCTGCAAGTGGATTTACACCTCACCAAAGGAAGTCATTCTGTCATGCAGAAAACAGCTCCTGACCCACTGAAGCGCCTCATTTGTATTTCATACCTTTACTCTGAAACCTCTGTCTTTGCATGCATCGTCTGTGGTGATTTTGAAAAAATAAAAAAATAAACATTAATACAGTATGGTTGTTGTTTCATTACTGCAGCCTCAAATACAAACTTTTAAAATGCTGTCAAACTCAAAATTGCATTTATTCTGTCATACAGTCATTATCAAAGCCTAAACTAATTATTTTCAAAAGAAAATAAATATTGCTTAAAATGAGCATGGCAAATGCCATCTACAGTGTGGAAGACAACAAAAATATAAATACAAGAATGAAACAGACAGGCTCTAGTAGTTTATGAGTGGTGATAGAATGGACACAGTGAGAGGAATGCTGTGGTTAACAAAGCACTTATAGATACAGGTCCATCACCTACAGGTAAACTGGAAAAAATAGACTATCAAGCAAAAGTTTGTTTATTTCAGTAATTTAATTTAAAAGGTGAAACTGATTAATGATATAGACTCATTACATGCAAAGCCAGATATTTCAAGCCTTTATTTGCTACAACTGTGGTGATTATGGGTTACAGCTGATGAAAAATCCACATTCAAAATGTCAGACAACTAGAATATTGTGAAAAGGTTCAAAATTCTAGACTCAAGTGTCACACTCTAATCAGCTAATGAATCCAAAACACCTGCAAAGGGTTCCTGGCCTTTGAATGTTCTCTCAGTCTGAATTACTGACATAAATTGACTTTTGCACCATATTCTAGTTTTTGAGTTTCACATACGTGCTCATGACGTTACAAGCAGCTGATGTGAACTTCCTTTGTAGAGTGGCCGGGTTCAGCTTCAAGCCTCCTTTTCAGCGGATGTGAAAGTATTGTGAAAAGGCCGCAAAAGATACTTTGCGGCAAATAGCCAACTGTTGTAGTGGGCGGTTCCCTTTCCACCGACAGCAAAGTGTAACGTTTTGGACGCGTCCCAGAGGCAAAGGGACGTTATCGTTATGTTTCAAGTCTATTTTTGACATGCTAGACTTCCAAAATACATCAAACTCCATAGTTTAGATCAGGCCAGACAGGCAGTCAAACAGGAAAGCACTGTAAATCATCTGAAAATTTTCAAAATAAAATCCACGTGCAGATAAACCTACGTCAATTCCTATTAAATCCTCCATAGCCGAGGTAAACAGAACAGAAAATATACCACAGACCTTTATGGATACATGCAGCTGTCATTCTCCTTGCTTGTTATTGTGTGTGGATTCTGAAATCACACGTGGTTTTGCAATTCTCCCATGATTTTGTGACCTCACGGGATCAGCTTTGTGGAATGCTTTCACTGCCATTTGACATCAGAATTAAGGGGTGCTTCCTACTAGGAAGAGACCCCCCCAAAAAAGATCCATAACTAGCTCAAGGGGTTTTCACTAATCTAACACTTTATGTAGAAAGGGAAGTCTGGCCTCAATCTGTCTCCCAACCTGGAGTTATATAGCAGAAAATAGATGGAGTCTGATCCCTACTCTGTAGTATTTATTCCACAAGATCCGACACTAGAGCTGTTGTTCTGAATCACCAGGGAGTTTATAAGTTTAACCAGAAATGCTGGATTTCCAGCATACGCTATTTGATGCAATCAAATGTATGTGAATTAGCATTTAGCGCATATCGACACTCATGCCAAAGTGTCCTAGACATGGACTTGGAAGTGTGAGGGTGCTGCTTTGGCCTACAATGTACAGTAAATACATAAATTATACCGTGGCACCAACCACCTCTTGCGAATGTGCCATATGGACATCGTGTCTGTCACGAACTCCTCCAGCTGACTGCATTCCATTCATTCCTGCCACTAACGTGGCGACTGACGTCATCACGCCGACACTACTTAAGGAAGTGCCGGCGTTTCATTCATTGCTCAGTCATCGTTTCTCACCAGACTTTGTATCGAGTCTCCAGGCTTACCAGCCCTCTAAACCCTCAAACTACACCTTCAGGAGATAACCACGCCGGCTATCTCCATCTCTCCGCGTCTGGGCAACAGAACTCTCAGTCACGCTTCAGATCTGCCAACGAACCTGACAGGATGACTGAGCCTAAAGTTGACCCAGCGGAGTTCGCGCGTCTGCGTGCCGAAGTGGCTCAACAGCGCGCAATCTTGGATCAGCATGCGGCAGACATGAACCAGCTCCGTGCCATAGCTGATCGCCAAGCCACCAAGATTGAGTCACTCACCGAGCTAGTACTCCAGCTGACCACCGCTCTGCAACGTCAGACCGCAGCTGTTCCTGACAGGTTGGAACCACGCCTCAGCCTTCCAGAGAAGTGG